AATGAACCGTGGTGTAAATCCCAGAATCCTGGTTTCCAAGATCTTTCCCAACATCAATTGGTCGTATGTTGACTCAGTGACTCTTGAGCAACTAGAGTTGAGAGCATTGATGAGGCATTGTAACAATACGGGTTTTTATTTCAATGCATTGGGTACTATCAGTGAGGACAAACACGAAAAAGAACAAAAAAAAGGAAGGAGGGAGGGAGACTTCAAGAGAACTCATATCAGTCACAGAAATTCACATTCAGCATCAATAATATGGAAGCTACGATACATCCCAGATATGTACAATCAGAAGGCAAAGTGTCTTGCAATCAGTATTAAAAATTGACAGGCTTGAAACAGCGGCCAAATGCTTTCACCTGACTGTCAAGTCATTACTTGCACGGTCCAGGTGGTAACACGAGCACATCGCCTGTTACTGGCATACATCGCGTCAGGAGCCCGTGTCTGTCGTAGTCGAGACAATGCACACCCACAGGAGATTCTGTGGAGTCGAAAGACAAAGAATCATGGGAGGGGAGATATTATTTCTCTCCCTGTGGTTCTGTAAATTCACGGTGTTGTTGGTGAACATCTACCAAACAAAATCCCAAGATGTACGATGTTAGCAAAACCAGATGCACGCAAAGGAGATGGACACATGCACAGCGAAGTGATGGAATCGTCTAGGCCCTGGGTACTGATTGGATAACCCGCAGGTGATATTGCTGTTCCAGTTCGCAAGATTGGCAAAAGGATCAAAATGAGATGGCCAGACTTGCAAAAGTTGCAAAGGAAACCCAGACAGAGTGGGGCCATTAATTAGAGAACCAAATTGGAGCCCTAAGTTGTTCTTCTTAAGTCCAAGGCCTTGTTGCAGCGACGAGACGAGTGGGCAAAATGTTTCGGGGATGCTGTATCACATCATCTGCCGAGTTATACCGGCTACTAGTAGTTTTTCAGCAGTTCAGGGGTATCGGGGGTCGATAAGACGACCTAGGGGAGGTGAATATGTAGGAATGGGCATATCTTGACCCCAGAGGCTGACCGAGCAGGCGCAGGCACACGGTCGTCATCCAAGTTATTGTAGCCTAATTCACTTGAAGTGCCGAGGAAGGTTGTTTGAACCCGATTTTTACGGCCCACTACATGTAGAATTGCTCGAGTGCAGCCCTTGAACAAGTTGAGGGGTGCTGGTGTGGAGTCCAGTGTGCTAGCGGGCGAGCAGGAGTGGGACGAGAGTGGGATGGTCCGAGTTGATAACCGCGTGATGTCAGCAACAGGTTATCGACCATGTTATCGTCCATTAGCACAATTCGAGAGTTTCCGGAGGTATTTAATATCCTGAGTCTACAGATCTCTTCCAAACCATTCAGGATTCATCTAGGATTCTTTGTGTGATTAAAAATGGCCTCCAAGGACTTCTGGGCAGTGATTTGTTGCAGAAGTGGCCGATAACAACCCAGTTGATCGGAACATGAATCACAATGTGAGAGGCAATATCGATAGCTGGCATTCTGGTGAATGATTCTGAGACAAAATTGGATTAGAAGGTGCCCAGCGGAAAGAATGAGTAGAACATGTAAACTCCGCCTTCCGCCGCAAAATTGATAGGAGCCGTGGGCATCCTGAAGGCCCGGATCAAATTATAGTCGGCGGAATGGGCAATGCCGTGAAGATGCCGTAGATCCGTGCATGGCGGCGACCCTACAAGTTCGGAACTATCTAGAAGTGAACAGATTTTTGAAACTATAAATATGGGGACAATGGCCAATTTGTCCAGGAAATCACTCATAATTTTGAGGCATTCCACCTGTTGGGAGAAGCTGAGTTACCCCGCGTCGGCGAAGACGGCATGTGCACGTGCAGTGCGTGATTACATAAGCCGAATCCGAGACATTTTCGGTACTCTGAGCGCAACCAGAGACTTTGTCTCTGTTTGTGAAACTCCAATTGGGAATAGGATCAAATCTGTCCCCGCGCCCGAATGACTGGTGTATCCGTGATTTATTTATTTATTTCGTTTCGCGGGATCAGAGTATTACCTTCCTTCCAGCTGCTGCGAGTAGATATGGACAGCCCACAACTCACCGTGTATGTCCTCTAGAGGTCCGGCGCTCCAAAAAAAAAATTGAACTGATACTGCCCAATTTATTCACCCAGGAACATTCCGACCGAGGTCCCCGGCTACGCTGCGAAATTCGCTCCAGAGGCGCTGCCTTAAAGAAGGGGCGAGCTGGTGAAATAGGCGGGTGTGGTGTACGGCACACAGCGGGTTATTATACTGTCGACGATATATTCACTCGCAGTCCGGGGTTCGACTCCCCGCGCCCGAATTTATGGTACCCCTTGAATTTTTTTTTCTCGTAACCCCACTCGAGATTGGACCGTACTCTGTTGTCTTAGAACGCTTGCTGCAAAGGAATTCAATGAGCGACCACAGAAATGCCGATACTTAGTAGCACCGGTACAAAAAAAAAAATTCGCGCGAGATTCGTCAAGCGTGCCTCACTTACTTGAGGAATGAACAGGATCAATACTCGGGTGTGGTGTTCGGAACACTGCGCGGTCTTCTTTCACGCTTTCTCTTGCTTGATAGCCCGCAGTCCGGGGTTCGACTCCCCGCGCCCGAATTCAGGGAATTGAATTGACTTTTTCTTTCTTTTTCTTCTTCATCCCTTCGACGTTGACGCGCGCACTGCCATTTACATGCCCCCTCGCGAGGTCCTGATTCGGCTCTTCCAAGAAATGACGCGACCACATTTATTCACCCCCAAATTTGGAACCTCGGTTGCTCAGTTGCAGGGCTCTAAGATGCGCTATCCAAATCGTCACTTGGCAGAGGACCGAAGAGAGTACAGAATCGGGTGTGGTGTACGGAACACCGCGCGTCTCCATACCGAAGATCTCTGGCACCGGTGGCGCGCCGTCCGGGGTTCGACTTCCCGCGCCCGATTTCGACCTGGATGAAGACTTTTTCTCTCTTCGGCATTACTGAACCACAGTCTTGTCCCTTTCCACAGATCCAACTTGGTATTTATACTCCCCGTCGCGCGGGCCTAATTTGTCCGTCCGAGAAATGACGCGACCAAATTTATTCACCCAGTGGAAATTCGGTTGCTGAATACCAGCGCTAGGAAATGCCCAGTTCGCGTCCGTACATACTTGGCGAGGGGACAAGCAGGGGAAATACTCGGGTGTGGTGTACGGCACACTGCGCGCCTTCTTAAGTCCGAATAAATGGTCAATGACAGCGCGCAGTCCGGGGTTCGACTCCCCGCGGCCGAATGGAATAATGCAGTAAAACGCTTTTTGCTCGTCTTCAAATTCGACTCGGCGCACGGCACCCTCCGCTAGCCGGTTCATTACTTATACTCGGACGCTGTCTTCAAAACCTGATGCAGCAGCTTGAAGATTTATTCACCCACTGGAAAAGCGGTTGCTGAATACCAGCCCTAGGAAATGCCCACTGGCAGTTTGCGTCCTCACTTGGCAAGGGGACAAGCAGGGTAAATAATCGGGTGTGGTGTACGGAACACCGCGCGTTTCCTTGGAGAAGACACGGCGAATGATAACGCGCAGTCCGGGGTTCGACTCCCCGCACTCGAATTCTGTCTCCAGGTTCCAATGCGTTTTCTTCTGAAAACAAAACAAAACCAAAAAGCTTCAGAATCTCTTGTCCCCGGCCGGCGTTCGGACTGTTTCCCCGCAAGTCGTTCGACGCGCCGCTCTCGAATGGTCGGAAGGACAGATTTTTTTTGTCCTCGCATGGCATTTCCTCTGACTTCGAATTGTGGATCCTGGGGGCCCGCGGCTTGCACCTGAAACGCGTGGCTTCGCGTTCATTTTTTTTTTCTTTTCCTAGGTCACCGCAAAAGTCATTCAACCAACATCACAAGAATCTCGAAGCTCCCCGTTGAGTTGCATCCCTGCCAAAGTTGCGCTCTAAGTCCCTCGCCTAATCAAAGGACGAACAGGCTAAAGGATCGGGTGTGGTGTATGGAACACCGTGCGTCTTCCTTGCTGAGTACTAGTAAGGCAATAGCGCACAGCCCGGGGTTCGACTCCCCGCGCCCGAAATCTGGACATTGAAATGACTTTTTTTCTTTTCTTTTTTTCTTCCCTTCGACGTTGTTGGCGCGCGCACTGGCACTTACACGCCCCCTCGCGCGGTCTTGATTCGGTTCTTCCAAGAAATAACGCGACAACATTTAGTCACCCCGCAGATTTGGAACCTCGGTTGCTGAGTATACGTAGCAGGGCTCTAAGATGCGCTATCCAAATCGTCACTTGGCAGAGGACCAAAGAGAGCAAAGAATCGGGTGTGGTGTACGGAACACCGCGCGTCTGCTTTACTGGGCGATATTGAGTGTTAAGCGATAGCGCGCAGCCCGGGGTTCGACTCCCCGCGCTCGAATATCGGAATAATGCCTGTTTCCTTTTCTTTTTTTTTTTGTTTCCGGCTTGTAAATGTGCTCTGGATCCCTCTCGCTGCGATGCCAGCCCTCAGCTCATCAGCTTTCCTTCTATCGAGTTTTTCGGACCTGCGACATATTTATCTTTAACCAGTCTCGAAGAGATGCAGGATTCAGGAACTCGGCTTCTGATTAGCACCAATGCCAAAAATTGCTCTTCAGGTGCCTCGTTTGGCAAGGGGTGCACAGAACGAAATAGTCGGGTGTGGTGTACGGGACACCGCGCGTCTCCGTAACGAAAATGTCTGACACTGATGCCGCGCAGTCCGGGGTTCGACTCCCCGCACCCGAATTGTAGGCGTTGAATAAAACTTTTTTTCTCGCCTTCAAATTCGACTACGTGCTCGGTACTCTCCTCGGCCCTCCGCTAGCCGGGCCATAACTCACATGCTCGGGCGCGGCGGGACGCTCCCAACGTAAGTCTAAGGCTACAAAATTTATTGACCGAGGAAATTCGGAACCTCGGCGTCTGACTGGCGGTGCTGCAAAGCTGCCCCTTGAATCGCCCTGCCTTGACCAAGGACCGAGGAGGGTAATTATTCGGGTGTGGTGTATGGAACACCGCGGGCCTTGTTGAACATTTCCTGAAAGGCTGACCAGCAGTCCGGGGTTCGACTCCCCGCACCCGAATAAGGCCCGCTTCGGATTTTTTTTCTATTTCTTTTCGGGTTGTATTGTAGCTTCGGTTGCTCTGGATTCGATGCCAGCCTTCAGCTCGTCGGTCAGCTTTCCTTCTGTCGAGTTCTTCGCTCCTGCGGCATAATTATATTCATCCAAATACCTTGACCTCAGAGGCTTCGGAGTAGCGAAACTACAAAATGCCCTGTTCAAATGCTCACTTGGCAAGGGGACAAGCAGGGTAAGTACTCGGGTGTGGTGTGCGGCACATCGCGCGCCTTCATTTGCGAGTCCTGTAAAGTTGAAGTGCTCAGTCCGGGGTTCGACTCCCCGCGCCCGAATGGAGTAATGCAGTAAAACGCTTTTTGCTTGTCTTCAAATTCGACTCGGCGCACGGCACCCTCCGCTAGCCGGTTCATTACTTATACTCGGATGCTGTCTTCAAAACCTGATGCAGCAGCTTGAAGATTTATTCACCAACTGGAAAAGCGGTTGCTGAATACCAGCCCTAGGAAATGCCCACTGGCAGTTCGCGTCCTCACTTGGCAAGGGGACAAGCAGGGTAAAGAATCGGGTGTGGTGTACGGAACATCGCGCGTCTGCTTTACTGAGCAATGAGTGTTAAGCGATAGCGCGCAGTCCGGGGTTCGACTCCCCGCGCCCGAATAAGGCCTGCCTGGGAATTCTTTTTTTTTTCGGCTTGTACATGGAGCATTGACTGCTCTGGATTCGATGCCAGCCCTCAGCTCGTCAGCGCTCTTTCCTTCGGTGTGTGGAGCTCTTCGCTCCTGCGGCATACCTATATTCAACCAGCCTCGAAAAGGTAGGACTCAGGAACTCGGCTTCCGATTAGCAAAACTACAAAATGCCCTATCCAAGTCCTCACTTGGCAAGGGGACAGGCAGGGTAAGTACTCGGGTGTGGTGTACGGCACACAGCGCGTCTCGGTACTGCAACTATAATTTCGCGTCAGCGCGCAGGCCGGGGTTCGACTCCCCGCGCCCGAATCAGACCTGCCATGTTTCGGGGTCCTTTTTTTTCCGGCTTGTATATGTGCTCTGGATTCGATGCCAGCCCTCAGCTCGTCAGCTTTCCTTCTGTGGGTGGAGTTCTTCCGCGCCTGGAGCATACCTATATTCAACCAGCATTCCAGAAATGGAGAAACTCCCCGTCTGAGGAGCAGTTGCGGCAAAATGCCCCGTGGAAATCCTCACTTGACAAGGGAACAAGCAGGGTAAAGAATCGGGTATGGTGTACGGAACACCACGCGTCTTGGTAGTTTGTCGATAGTAGCGTCAGCGCGCAGGCCGGGGTTCGACTCCCCGCTCCCGAATAAATTCTGCTTCGAGTTTCTTTTTTTCGTCTTGTATTGTGGCTTCGATTGCTCTCGCTGCGATGCCATGCCGCGTAAAGGCGCCCTCCGCTTTCCTTCTGTCGAGTTCTTCGCTCCTGCGGCGTACATACCTATATTTAACCAGCCTCGAAAAGATAGGATTCAAGAACTCAACTTCTGAGTAGCACCGATGTCAAAAATTGCTCTTCAGGTGCCTCGTTTGGCAAGAGGTGCACATAACGAAATAGTCGGGTGTGGTGTACGGAACACCGCGTGCCGTCATGTTGAAGTGTCGAAATGATGCTAGCGCGCAGTCCGGGGTTCGACTCTCTGCACCCGAATGGTGGGATGCAGCCAAATGCTTTTTTTCACCACGGGTTCGACTCCCCGCGCCCGAATAATAGTACGCGCCATTGATATTTTTCGCGTCAATCCCTCCCGATGCGATGCATGCCGGTCCAAAACCGTTTCCCGCCCCGTCCAGTCCTTCGCTCCGATAGATGTAGGTGCTGCGCTGCGAAATTTATTTAACCAGCCTCGAAAAACGGGATTCTTAATAACACATTCACAAAATGTCCTACCTAAATCCTCAGTTGGCAAGGGGACAGGCTGGGTAAATATTCGGGTGTGGTGTACGCCACACCGCGCATCTGCTTTACTGAGCGATGTTGAGTGTTAAGCGATAGCGCGCAGCCTGGGGTTCGACTCCCCGCGCCCGAATAAGGCCCGCTTCGGGATTTTTTTCCTTTTTCTTTTCGGGTTGTGTTGTAGCTTCGATTGCTCTGGATGCGATGCCAGCCCTCAGCTCGTCAGGTTTCCTTCTGTCAATTTCTTCGGTCCTGCGACTTACTTATATTCAACCAGCCTCGAAGAGATGCAGGATTAAAGAACTCAACTTCTGATTAGCACCAATGCCAAAAATTGCTCTTCAGGTGCCTCGTTTGGCAAGGGGTGCAGTGGCCCCGGTGCACAGAACGAAATAGTCGGGTGTGGTGTACGGAACACCGCGTGCCGTCATGTTGTTGAAGTGTCGAAATGATGCTAACGCGCAGTCCGGGGTTCGACTCCCCGCACCCGAATGGTTGGGCGGGTCTGTAGTTTTTATTTTCTTTCTCAGAATTAGATCTCACTCCCGCCAGGCGTGATAACGCTGTGAGCCATGCAAATATGTGGCCCGAGGCTGTTCGGTTCCGGGCTCATGTGCTCGGGATCCCTCTCGCTGCGATGCCAGCCCTCAGCTCATCAGCTTTCCTTCTATCGAGTTTTTCGGACCTGCGACATATTTATCTTTAACCAGTCTCGAAGAGATGCAGGATTCAGGAACTCGGTTTCTGATTAGCACCAATGCCAAAAATTGCTCTTCAGGTGCCTCATTTGGCAAGGGGTGCACAGAACGAAATAATCGGGTGTGGTGCACGGAACACCGCGCGTCTCCGTACCGAAGATGTGTGGCACCGATGGCACGCAGTCCGGGGTTCGACTCCCCGCACCCGAATTACGGTGATGTTTTCATTGTTTTTCTTCTTTTCGGAGCTTCCAGCTTCTCGGTCGGCGCTAAAAACTCCAACTGATGCTACGACATTTATTCACCCAGGAAATCCGGAACCTCGCCGTCTGAGTAGCAGCGCTGAAAATGTGCCCTGTTCAAATGCTCACTTAACCAAGGAACGAACAGGCAAAATGTTCGGATGTGGTGTACGGAGCACCGCGTTTCCTTCCAGAGTTGCTGCTGGCTGAGAGTAGCACGCAATCCGGGGTTCGATTCCCCGCACCCGACGCGGATCAGGGAATTGAACTGAGTTTTTTTTTTTTTTTTCCCCCTTCCCCTTCGACATTGTTGACGTGCGCAGCGGCAGCCGCCGCCTGGCATGTACACACCCACTCGCGCGGCCCGAGCACTGATGTTGAGTCAACCAGGATCGCAGAAATCCCGGACCTCCGAGTCGCCGTCTGAACACTGGCAACGCTGCCAAATTTGGCTCTTCAAGTCTCTACCTTGACGAAGGGAGAAAGAAGATAAACAATCGGGTGTGGTGTACGGCCCCCGGGAACACGGAAACGGATGAGAAAGTCGAAGAGCCCCTATTTGCGGGATGCGTGACCGAAGACAGACGCTGATTCGAATTCCGTCACATCAGCCCTCCCCGCACTGTCTTTCCAGCGCACCTCGCCGGCGCAGCAGACCGAGGCCGCGCCCGAATGGCACTGCTCTTCTGGGCCGCGCGAGCAACGCCTCCCCGACCTTCGACCCGGCCTACGCCTTCGTCTCCTCCCCGCTCCTCTCCCCCTCCGCACTCGCAGCCGTGCGCCTCCTCCTCGCGCTCTACGCGCTCTGCACCATCTGCACTGCCCTCGCGCTCGATCTCGACGTCGCCGCCGGGTCCGGGCGCTCCTTCCTCAGCTTCCTCACGCAGCTCTCGTACATCGGGGTAGCAGCGTACCTCGTCGCTGCGGGCGCGCAGACCGTGGACTACGCGCGCTGGGAAGGACGGGGTATTCGTTGCGGGTGTGGGGGAGGGGAATGCATCTGGTGCATCAGCCTCCCTCCGTCCTCCTTCCTCCTCACACTCACATTCGTGGCGGGCAGCCTGGTCCAACACCTCCCTCCACGCGCTCAACAACGCCTTCGCGCTCCTCGAGCTCCTCCTTACCAACTCCCTGTCCAGATCCTCCTCCTCGCCGGCTATTTGGGCGTCGCGTATGTGACGAAGGCGAGCCAGGTGTTTACCGTGTGTGTCTTGGTTCTTTTCCTTCCTTCGCCTTTCCCGCTTTTCTTCCCCTTTAGGTCGGCGGCGCGCGGTACCTTGCATCTTGTTGTTGTCGCGCCACGGGCATTTCGGTTCGCCGCGAGCTATTTTCGCCCTCCGCGTCTGTCTTACTTCCTCCCGTCTTGCCCGTTTCATCTCCTTCCTCCTTCTCGGCTGCGCGCCCCGGCGCTCAATCGTCTGCGGTGCGCCGGGCCGAGGGGCGTTGTGACTGACGATCCGCGGCGTTCCGGGGCGGCTGCGTCACAGTGTGCGTTGCGAGAAGCGCCCGTCCTGCGCCCATCCATGTCCACTGGCAGACTCCGTTCTTGCGACCCGAGCTGTGCCCGCGTACATACTGCGTGGGCGCCCGCCTTCTTGCGCGCTTTGCGCTCGGGCTGCGCTGCGGGAGGACCGACCTCTCCTGCGCCGTCGCACCCCCTGCGGAACGATATCTTCACGGCGCGGCGCGGCGCAGTCTGTGTCCGCCATGTCGCTGCGCTATGGGATATGGACAGGCACCCGCGCTGCCGCCGCTGGCGTGGCCCGCGTGCTGCGCGTGAGGTGCCGCACGTCGAACGCAAGCAGGCGCGGCGATAATCCTGTGGCGCCTCGGCCTCGGGGATGCGCCGCGCGCGAGCTATTTCCGCCCTCCGCATCTATCCTGCCGCTTCCTCCCTCGCCCCCGGCTGTCTGCGGTACGGGCTGCGGCGCGTTGCGGCGTTCCGCGAGGCGTCTCGGACGCGGCGGCCTATCTCATGTGCGCCTGCCGCCGGCGTGGTGTTGAAGGCCAGCCCTCGTCCGTCGCGTGCGCCCAGTGCGCCTCGTTTAGTGCACTGGCAGATTCCGTTCTTTAAATTTACGATTCGAGCTGCGCGTTCTGTACCGCGACGGGCGCGCTTCAGCGTACATAATGCGGGACCCGCGGCTCCTGCGTTATTTTCGCTGCGCTGTGCGGCGTAGTCTGTGGCTGCCCGTTTCGCCGCGCCGCGATATGTGTAGACAGGCGCCCGCCGCACTATCATTGAACCACGCGCGGAAACCAGCGACCCGCCCTTCTTACCACGGTAATTTCTGGTCATCACCATCTACTTCAGATAACTTGACAAAGAAAACACTCCATTGCAAGATTCACGCCACTGGCCCTACATATATGTGTACGATCTAAAGAAGGGTCGCGCCAACGAAATCTGCGACATCCGGGGTGATGGCGATGAGCTTTGTGCCGTCGGTCCACGTCTACAAGACATGCCATTAGTTGCGGTTTCGATCTCATTGCCCAACACTCACGCAGACGACCTTGGCTTCAGCTGAAGACGATGGCCGCCGTGGTTAGCAAGCAGTCTGACACGGATGGATGAACCACGCACTATCGGCGTTGTTGCCCGAGAAGTCACCCGGTTCAACCAAGCTCGAGACGAGGCTCATGCCAGGGTTGGGGCGACCGTTGGTGTTGAACGGCGGCCAGAGTGTGCACACGTCAGTCCAACTGCGATGATTATGGTCAGTATTGCCAACATTGATTGGTTCGTTGCTTACGCGTCCGTGAAAGCGTTCATGCCGTCGACGGATGGAATTTGGACGAGCAGTCTGTCGTCGACTGCCGGGGCGCTGTGGCCGAGCTGACCGAGGGCCGCAACGAAAAGAGGGAGAAGGAGCGTGAATTGCATTGCGTGCTCGTTGGGAAATGCGGAGGAAATTGAACTGAGGCTGGTGTCTCATCGAGCGCGAACTTTATACTAGCTGAACACCGGGCCATTCTTCACCGAGTCTGCAGCCGCAAACAGGCCATCCGCATGAGCTTTGTAATGGTCATGGTTACGCATGCTGATCCACCCCAGATCACGGACCGTGGTGCTCCGTGGTGCTTGTTGAAGTCTTCGTCTTCTTGTACTCCCGTCGGCATTCACCGGCTGGCGATTGATGCCTCCGTCCATGTGGCGACCGTAGATATTAATAGCTCTGCGCTCTCGACATCGATCATTCGTGGGCGTCAATGAATGATGATCGGCGGTCCTCAACTGCATCCATGCGTTTTGCTCTTTCAGCGACTCGGCACGCCAACAATCAACCAACAGTTCAACCTTGTGATCAGATGGCAGTGCACGACTTCTCTTCTGAATGACAATGACACTCATCGCCAGTGCAGATTCTTCGGTATTTGCGTCCGAAAGCGTAGTGCACGAGGGCTCGGGACAACAATCTCAACGCTGGAGGCGCTCGAGCCATCGAGTCTATGTACGTGAGCCAGAATATCCGGCGAATATTAACCCGCTCTGTCCCCGTGAACCGCACCCGTCGGCCCTCCACGAAATTAATGCGATGCGAGCCTAGGCTGTCAGGTATCTGATAGTAATAATCTGCATACCCGTCCCGCGCACGACGTACATCCACCCCTCCCCCTCCCCGGGCAGCGCGTGCGCAGTGCCACCCCACAATCCAATCCCCAGCACGGCTCCGTGCGAGCGCGCCTTCAAGCGCGCTGTATCCCGACCTTCGCATTCGCAATAATTCCATGTCCTTGCCCGGGCGATGTCTCATCGCCCCCGAACGTCCCGTCCGGCGTCTACGTGTGCTATCTATCCTCGTAAATGTGAATCTGATGGCCTCCCAAGTGCGCCGGCGCGATCTCGTGAATACCGCACATAACGCGTCGAATCTCCGGCCCGAGTGCATCAGGCAATAACCTCAAAATCAGCCCGCAGCCCGCGGCGCGTAAGCAACTCGACCGGCATGAATTATCCCGTGCCTGCCCGTCTCAAGCCCACAACGCGAGCTAATCGCAAATCGCGCGATTTGCATTTGCATTTGCACACCGCGTCTTCTTATTGTGTAACAAACCATTTAGCGCGCAGTCCGAGGTTCGACTCCCGCGCCCGAATGTGCCGAGGGAAATTCATTCTTTTTTCGATCCTACGAGCTTTCTCTCGACATGTTCGTTTCGGATCCCTGCAGGGACGGTGAGACTTCACCCTCTCCACCCCTTCGCATTTATATTCGGGGTAGGACGCCGCGAACGGCGCATTTACAGTACAGTAAAACCGGATGCGACAAGATTTTAATTTATTCACCTAGCGGACGTGCGTCGCCGAGCTCGCTGTCGCGAACGGGTAAATAATCGGGTGTGGTGTACGGAACCCCGCGCATCTTTATTTGCGAGTCCTGGTACCGGGGTTCGACTCCCCGCGCCCGAATAAGGCCTGCCTGGGTATTCTTTTTTTCTTCCATCTTGAACATGTAGCTTCATTGACGATTCCTCTCGCTGCGATGCCACGCCGCGTAAAGGCGCCCTCAACTCGTCGGTTTTACTTCTGTCGAGTTCTTCTGCCCCTGCG